TATATATATACTGTGGTGCAGTGAATTAGTTGGTGCGGCTTTTCTAGCCATAGTCTTTGTAACTTCCACCAGTTTACTGGGTTTAGCAGGAGCTCTGGTAGTGTAGTACCTAAGGCTTTGACTGCTAACCAGAAGGCTGGTGGTTCAAACCTACCAGCCACTCCTCGAAAGGAAGAATGGGCAATCTACTTCTGTAGAGATACCACCTCAGATACCCAAGGAAGACCAGGTATGACCATGAAAATAAGGTGTATAGAACTCTAATGTAGGAATTGGTTAGTTTTGTCACTCTGCCAGGCTTAAAATGAGCCTTCCTAGAGGCAGAAAGGGAGCTCTGGTGGTATAATGACTAAGACACTTACTTGACTGCTAACCAGAAGGCTGGCTGTTCAAACCCACCAGCCACTCCTCAGAAGGAAGATGGGGCAATCTACTTCCGTAGTGATATTGCCTTGGAAACCCAAGGAGGGGTTGCTATGAGTCAGGTCTGACTCAACGGCACGTAACAACAACAACAACAACAAAAAGGCAGAAAAGGGCGATCTCACTGCCACCAAGACAGAAGAGCTGGAAGTGAAGTGGAGCATGTCCCTGGACCCAAGATCCCTGCTCTTGACCTCCTTGGCGAAGATGCCCTAGCAGAAATGCCCCAGCAGAGCCACCTACCTGAGAGCGGGTGGCAGTGGAACCAAGAGGCACAAGATAGAGTGGCAGCTTGCCTGGCCCACAGAGCGAGAAAGGTGAGTGCCACTGGGGAGGAGGTTTGCTGGCAGAGCGGGGTGCACGTAGTACCTATCGGCAGAGCTAAAAGAGCTTTGTAACACTTGTCTGAGCAGGGCAGAGGTCAGGAAGAAAGATCAAGGGCCAGAGAGGCATGCCTGAGGGCATAGGAGAGGGTAAACTGTCGGACTGAAGAACTGTATCCTCAGAACATTCCCAAACCTGAATTGTAGCCTGTTACTTCCCTAATAAACTCCGTAATTTTGAGTACTGTCTGTGAGTTTTGTGTAGGAATTGACACGAATTATCTGGTAGCATAGTGGCTAAGACACTTGCCTGCTAACCAGACGGCTGGTGGTTCAAACCCACCAGCCACTCCTCGGAAGGAAGGTTGGGCAATCCTACTTCCGTAGTGATACTGCCTCGGAAACCCAAGGAGGGGTCGCTATGAGTCAGGGCTGACTTGACGGCACATAACAACAACAACAACATCAAACCCAGTAGAGAAGTAGTGAGTGCCATGCAAGGGGTGGTTGGTGTCAGAATTGGTAACAAGGTTTGGAGGGTGGTGGCATGTTTGGCTTCACAGGAATAAGCCTTGGGCTATTGTTAGTGACCCTGTTTCCCCCTTGTGAAGTTGGAGGAAGTCAGAAGATGCCACCTTCTCGTCCTTTTTGCATGTGCATCATCAAGACTAGTAAACCAGTTGCCTGGGGCTGATTCTGACTCATGGTGACCCCATGGTGTGTCAGCGTAGAACTGTGCTCCACAGAACTGTGCTATGGCTGGTTTTTCAGAAGTAGATCACCAATGCTTTCCTCTGAAGCACCCCTGAGTAGACTCAAATCACAGGAACCTTTTGGTTAGCAACTGAGAGCTTTAACCACCATGTCAACCACGTTGACACTTGTACCACTCAGGGACAATAAGCACATGAAAAGATGCTTAGCATCATTTGTCATTAGGAAAATACAAGTTAAAACCACAATGAGATGCAACTTCACACCCACTACCAAAAACCAAAAAACCAAACTCACTGCCATCAAGTCGATTCTAACTCATAGTGACCCCCCCTTTTGGGTTTTCCAGGGGGTAAATCTTTAAGGAAGTAGATTGTCCAGTCTTCCTTACAAGGAGTGGCTGGTGGGTTTGAATTGCCAACCTTCTAGTCAAATGCCTTAGGTACCACACCACACCCACTAGGATGTCTATTACCAAGTATGTGAAGAGGCCGGAAACTCGCTACATTAAAGGTAGGAATTTTGTAAAAGGGTGCTGTGGAAACAGTTTGGCCAAGTTAAACACAGA